CAGCAGCCCATCCTCCTTCCTGAATATCTGTAGAGCTGAGTGCTGGTGGAGGGAATTACAAATTGCTTTTTAAGATTTGGATACCCAAATGCCACCAAAGTCCTGGTGTAGACAGAGTTGAGGTGGCTTGACCTCACCAAATGTCCGGAATTGCTCCAGGATGATCAAGATGAACCTCAGCAGATAAGGTCCAGAGTACCCAGGGCTCACCACGCTGTCTGCTTAGGTTACACTCAGTCTCACCGAAAGCACTGAGTCATCTCTTACAAGCAATAAGAAATCCTTTGTTTATTTACAGCCACTAATCTACTCATTAATTCCTGCTCCAGTGAAAGTTTGCACCTTATTACTGAGCTGAACTTTGTTGACTCCAGCTTCCCACTCCCTGGATCTCATCCAGCCTGTCCCTGACGCTTCCCAGGAGGTGGCAGTCACTTCCCAAGATACACGGGCAAACCAGGGGAGTCTCAGCGACCTGGGCTAAGTCTCACGGGCAGTCAGGGTGGGGGGGGGGGGATCTGCACCCAGCCGTGGGGCTGTGGTCGGCAGCCCCCCCTGGAGTGACAGGATTGACACCGAGTGGGTCACCGTACACAGTGGGATGGGAACGGGGAGCTCCTGGCTGTGCCTGGGGAGGGACACCGAGTCACGAGGGTGCCGTCCCACGAGGGACGCTGAGTCACGGGGCTGAGGCCTGCTGAGGTGTTCACGATGGGATGGCACTGCCTGTGGGCGTGGGAGCTGGGGCACGGTGGCGTGGGGTGCCTGGCTGTGGGCAGGCCTGCGAGGGGACACAGGCGCGGGACGTGGTGCGGTGTGACAGAGCAGGCGTGGCTGGGAGCTGAGCTGAGGGAGTGGGCTCTTGCTTGTGTTGGACGTGGGAAGGGTGGGAAGTGGAAGTCCCTGGTTAGGGAAAAAGAGCAGATGGTAACGGGGACAGCAGGGAGCAAGGGGGAAAGGGGAAAGTGTGGCTGGGGCAGACAGGGGAGGGAGGTCTGTGGGCTGGGGCTGTGGACGTGGTCTGTATGGGAAGAGGCTGAGCTGGGCAGTGGGTGCTCGGGTGAGAACTGCAGGAGTGCACGTTGTGAGCAGAGCTGCTGGCGCTGGGGATGGGGAGGGTGAGAAATGGGAATGTCACCGTGTGGGAGCACTGCCCCCAGGACATGGGACTGCTGAGCCCTGGGGGTGCAGGGGGGGGTGGAAGCACCAAGCATTGGGGGTGCAGGAGGGATGAGAGCACCATACATTTGGGGTACAGGATGGGGGGAAGCACCGTGGACCATGGTTGCAGGAGAGGTTGGAGCACCCCACATCAGGTGTGCAGGGGGATGAAGCCCATAACCTGGGAGCGCAGGGGAATGGAGTGCTGTGCTCTAGGGGTGCAGGGGGAGTGGGAGCACCACACACTGGAGGTGCAGGGAGGGGGGTAGCACCATATATTGTGGGTGCAGGAGGGATGGGAGTACCACGCAATGGGGGCGCAGGTAGGATGGGATGCAGGGGACACGTGCACAGAGGCTGTGGGAGCGCGGTGGCCTGGGGACGTTCTCAGCACAGCAGGGACAGCTTGCTGCAACCCGGCCCTGGGGCGCAGCTGTGGTCAGAACCCTGCAGGGTGGCAGGCCACAGCCAGGGTACATGTCAGGTCCCCGGGGGCAGCGTGGTTCGCTGGCGGGAGGACAACCCTTCCCAGCCATGCGGGAAGTCATGAATCAGCTGTGAGCAACTCCCCCAGGTCTGCCTGCCTACTCCACCGGTCTGATCTCCAGCCAGTTCTGCGCTGCGCTGTGCTGATTTATATCTCAGCCTTTTCCTGCTACCTGGTTGTGAGCCATGAGGGGGTTAGGGGCCAGTGCAGATGGTTTAGTGACAGCAGCCCTGGCCGCCATCAATCACAGCAACGCTTGGATTTATGAACAGAGAAGTCGGGCAGGAGCCCAGCGATCTGGGGCAGCTTATGGTGCTGAGTGGTATGTGTTAGGGAGCAAAATCCCCTTGTCCCTGGACACCTGAGGGCTGGGTTTTAGGGAAGGACTGGACAGTTCAGGGTCTGACAGACTTCAGCTGTGTTTGGATGCTGGGAAAGGAAAATGCTGTCCTCTTGGATGCAAGTGACAACACTGATGTGCAAAACCCCACCAGCTGCCCGGTCTGTCCAACCATCTGCCACCTCCTCGGCCATGAGGAGATGCACTCTCCTCCCTCTGCCCCCTCCAGGGGCTCTCCAGGTCCCACCTGGCTGGCACCCCACAGGCTTTTCCTGTCCTGCCCTGTTCACAGCCCAAGTCTGCACCCTGCAGAGCATCCCACTTCAGCAGGGCAAGTGCTGCACTTTTGTGGGACTCAAGTGCCCCACGGGATCACTGTCCTTGCTCCCCCAAGCTTGCGATATGCAGCAGAGAGCTCAGAGGACAGGAGGGATCCCTTCCCAGAGCTGTGCATGCCTTGTGGTGCCCTGAGGATGATCCCTGGCACTGGCACTGGCATCCTCCCCACAACACCAAGGAGTAGGGAGAGGGAGAGCCATCCATGATCTTGACAGCATTCTGTGACTGTCACCAAAGTCCCCTGAGATAGAAGCTGCCAAGTTCCCAGCTGGTCCCACCAAGCATCTGTCCCCTGGCCCAACTCCAGGGAATACATCCATCCCACAGCTGGGCCAAGGGGCTGGAAAACACCCAAGTGCCAGGCTCTGAGCACCCATGGGTGCAAATATTTGGGAGCAGAGAAGCACGTGCAAACTCCTGCGCAGCACAGAGCCACCCATGCAGCACAGCCAGCCCCTGTAGCACATCATTCCCGCCTGTTCATTTTGTCTGAAGGCTGTGAGGAGAAGCTGGACTCTCAGCTTCTGATGAAGAGAGCATTGTGCTGCTCTGGAGGGGTCTTTTGGCCATCGTGGTACCCAGGACCTGTAGGGCCCTTGTCCCATGGGGCTGCGTGGAGCAGAGCACCTCCAGGGCAGGACGATGCACAAGGCTGTGATGCTGGAGTGGGGGAAGCAGAGGGGAGGCACCTGGGAGGGCTGGCAAAGTACGAGCTGAAGGTGTTTGGTTGCTCCATATGCTGGAGGTAGATGTGTGTGCCAAGGCAGCCCTGGAAGGGAAGCAGCTGGGCTCTGGCGGCGTGCCAGCATCTCCTGTGAGCTCCCAGCAGCCGATGCCAGCAGGAGCCACTCGGAGCAGGAGCTGGACACACACAGGGCGCTAACAAGGATGCTCACTGCAGCCTCCAGCCCGTGTCCCATCCCTCAGCACACAGGTACAGCCATTGCAGCTGCTGACATGCAGTTCTTTGTTGCAGCAGCCCTTTGCCATGCTAGAGCCCAAACAACCCTGTGGGTCCCAGCAGCCTCTGGCTCTCAGCTGAGCGCTGATGGAAATCACCTCAAACCACCTGGACCTGTCAGGGTGCCCACAAAAGCACACACCTTCCTCCATGCTCTTGCCAGGGACCATCTGTCCATCACTAACTATGCCACTGGGCTCATGCACAGCCATGTGGGCAACCCAACAAGCCATAACACTGGGCATCCACAGCTCCACCCCGATGGGAGAGGCTTAGGGTTATTCTTCCAGTGCCAGTTTGTCCAGGCAACAGGGTTAGTCCCACCCTGAGGGCCAGCGCCACGCCAGGGATGCCCTGCACAAGCTCTGAGAAAGGCAAGTCCACCTGCCCAGTGCCCCAGCTGCCACACGACACGTTACACAGGGACCCGGATCAGTTCAGATGTGGGACCTGCAAGTAAGTTAGGAGCAGATGACATTGCCAGAGCTAGCAGAGTCCAGCCTGGAGATGTCTGGCCCCTCAGAGGATCCAAACGCAGCTCAGACCTCATCTTTGCCATCACCTGTCCCAGCTCAGTGGCAGGTTTCAGGGCAAGGGACACACCTAAGCTGCTCTTCTGTCCCTGCACCACCTTCTTGGGAGGGCAGATGAGGCCATGGCAGAGGTCTGTGGGCTCAGGGTGACCAGCCAAGTCCCTTGGGGGCCGTGGGGACACTCATCCCCCCAGCCTCCACGTTGAGGGGTGATGGGGTTACCCCACCAGAGCGGCTGCTGAGCTGGCCCAGCCCCACTCCAGGGTCCCAGCAGGACAGGGTGACATGTCCCCTGCAGCCAGCACAGCCAAGGCACAGCCAGATCCCCTGTTCCCAGGCAAGGGACAAGGACAGCACCCCAGGGAACAGCATTGCAGCAGCAGGATGGCCTGTGCCCGAGTGGGAGCCCTCTAGCACCAGGCCATGTGCCAGGACAAAATCCAGCCTCAGCACCAGCACTGGCCATAGGGAAGCTCCCACCTGCTTCAACCTGCTGCCACCCCTCACAGGGGTCCCCACCATCCCACTGTGCACCCTCAGGGGACAGCCCGGGTCCTGCGACATTGGCACCGGGTCCAGTCCAAACCCTGGCTGCCAGCACTGAGTCCAAGCCAGCCCAACGCCATCACAACGCGGGGTGAAGCTGTTTGCACAGCTGTGGACGGCGCAGCGGGCTGAGCCAGCCCCAGGAAGGCTACGTTAGGAAAAGCACCGGCTAATTTGGGATTGGATCCGTGCGGGTCAAGGCTCAGGGAAGGCACGACCCAGCTGCAGTCCGGAGGGCAGTGGGGCCGGGGCGGTGGATGCTGGCGGCGTACCCTGACTCTGGTTTATCTTGTAAATGAAGGTCAGGCTGCAATTAGTGATGGAAACCACGCTGGGGATGTGAGAGCCACCATGAGAGGTCACAAAGCTGGCGGTCACCACGCTGCCGGGGAAGGGGGTGCAGAGCTCTCGGGGCAGGATCCGACCCGTGCTGGCAGCTGCAGAGGGGACCAAATACCCGTGCGTGGTGGCAGGAGCTGTCGAAGGGCTGCAGCCCCCCGCGGACCGTGTCCAGGAGCCATCCGTGTGTTCTCGGGTGGGTGGGGATGGCCCCTGCCCCCGTGGGTCCACCCCCTCC